ATAAATAAATAAATCTTTTAAAAAAAAAAGAAACATTTAATTTTTTGTGTGTCCGCAATGTTTTTCTCAATGGTCCTATCTATATAAATAAAACGGTTGGGTCATTTTGCTAATTTGGAATGGATTTGATTATGATGAGTGTTTTGTTCTCTCATAGCAGTTTTTGGAATTTTGTTATAGTTGTGAATTATCCTAAATTTCACTCTACCCTAAAAAACAGATTTGGGACAAACTGAGATTAAAGGCTAGATTACATGTAATGAAACTAAATTCTAATATGTGACTATCTTTGTTAGTTGGGTGAAGATTAAGAGTTACTTGCTATTCTTTGCTGTGTTTTCTTTTTTCTTTTTTTTTTTTTAAAGATTTTATTTATTTATTTGAGAGAGAGAGAGCACATGGGGGGGAGGGTCAGAGGGAGAAGCAGACCCCCTGCCGAGCAGGGAGCCCGATGCGGGACTCGATCCCGGGACTCCAGGATCATGACCTGAGCTGAAGGCAGTTGCTTAACCAACTGAGCCACCCAGGCGCCCCTTTGCTGTGTTTTCAATCAGAGAACAATGACATATATATATTGGGAATGAAGGAAGACAGATTTTTCTCCAAAGAGAAATTGTTGGACCTGACAACATATTTGGACAATCATATAGCAAAAGTGCTTATGAAGATGTGTAGTCACTGGCTTTATAGACAAATACTGGAATGCTCTTACTATCTTGGTCCTCTTAAGAAAACACTACTGACATCTATAAGAGCTCGGTTACTTGAAGAACTCTGGACATTCACTGAGCAGTAATTCTTCCTACTCAGGATTACCTTCAAAGCAAGGGACACGGGCTCAGATTCTATCACAGTCATCAGCACATCTAAATTCCAAGAGTACAAATATTTGAAAAATTCTGTCAGGTGCCAGCAAGTCAGTTTCTGAGCTGTGTAATTGGGCTGGTGCCCATTCTGACAGAATTGCTAAAACTAGACATGCACTTGCTTTACCAAATTTAGGGGGATCTTGGAGAGCAGAAAACAACTTGCTAAATTATTTCCAGAGTAGGTAAAATGAATTAGGACAACTCGGCTTTGTCAAAACTTCCTCAACATGGTTTATCTACAGTCAAAATTTTCTACTATGTATTAAGTTATATTAATTGTTGACTGTAGGATCCATCCCATTTGTACAAGATAAATTTGCAATTCTTGATAAATTCTGAAGGGATCCCAATTTGATTTTCACTTCTACTTCATCTACAAAAGAAAAAGTATAAACTACTAAATAAAGATAATAATGCCTAATTTCATGATTGTAGTGATTAATGATACTGTAAACGTAGTAATAATACAAACTACCTGGCTCCTTATAGGCT